GGACAGTCTATTACATTGAAAGTATTACGACATGGAGAAGGGGGACTAATTTCCAGGGCTTACTCCAGGGCAGCCCAGAAACAGGGGGAGGGGGAAAGGAGTCCGATTCTACATGTAATTAGGGTTGTCTCTCTGGCAAAAAAACAGGATAACTAAATTGCCTCACAATTGGCACTTAATGAGTTATGAAATAGCCTTGTGCATGCTGATGAGCAATGGCTGTATAATAAGCAGACCTTGCAATATGCATCTGGTGCCAGTAAACTGTCTGGAACTTAAACTCAATGGTGCATGTACTGAAGGCTTCTGCGGTTGAAACTGTGACTCCAGACTTGAGATGATTCAGCATGATGCATGGGCTCATTAATGCCAAGCTACAATGGGATTGCTACTCCTAAAATTGCCTTGGTTGGGCAGGTACATGTTTACTGCTGTCATCCACGGCTTCTGCTATGTGTGTGGTCATATTCCATACATACATGTACATGTACACTGGCTTGGTGTATTGACTAGTCAAGAGGAAGCTGTGCAGTACTGTATTGAATTCCCTCTCAAGTCCTCAGAGTTCACAGGCCCTCACATGTCCCTACAACTGCATCACATGTCCTCATAACTTACAATGTAACACTGAGTCCTCACTATTCCATCACAAGTCACTGAAAGCCCTCACAAGTCAATCACTAGCTTTGCAGGCTTATCACAAGTCTTCACAATTCCTTCCTAAGACAGCAACTCTCAAGTAACAAGCCACTTGAACTGTGACAAACGCCTCTCTCTGCTTTCTTTTATCTAAGCTACCCATGCCGGGTCTTGCAAACTGAGCAATGAATTAACTTGTGATGGATTTGAATGCAACACTGAAGATATCTTGTCAATCATCTACAGAGCATCCAGGTGTTATGACTGATGTTTAAGCAAAAAAAAATTTAAGAAAACGCTTCATAACCGAGAAAGTGCCCTACATTAAAGTGACGTTCCGTGTTTTCATCAATAATGGGGTTGTAGTGCAGGAAGCCAATTTAGTTGATTACATGTACATTAATTTCTATTAGGCATCAGGGTTGAAGGACTGAAGATGGGTGACTGCAGTTTATTTTAGCTGGATGTACACATGGTTTTTATGTTAACGTATCTACACGTGGAATGTTATTAACTATTATCAACACTGTTCAGAGAACCAAAGAACTCTGTAAATACCAACTATGGAGATTTGTAGACAGTTAGTATGTCCAGGTAACACATGCATTCCTGTGTTAGATAATTATAGGTCGTTAACTGCAGCATAATGATATTGCAAGAGACTTCTATATCGTTCTGTGAAGCAGTGACAATAACTGATGACAGAATGATCCTGTTAGTTTTTCGATTAAAAAGTCAATTAAGTGCTGCATGTAGCTTTAATGTGTATGGAGATGTACTGCAAATTCAGCTGAGTAAGCCATGAAATATACATATTTTTTTCTTCAGAACTCACCTGACTTTTGGCGTTACCGTTAATGTGCATTTTCCTGGTCTGTTGTACAAATCAAGGCATGCATGTAAAGTATCAACTTTAATTTAATTTGTGAAGTTCCGGCATTGACACTCTTAAACAAATTATTTGTGATTATAGACATCACATAAACAGTATGATATGTGCTGGGGAGGTAGTCAAAATGTGTGTATTCTTTATATTCAGTGAGACATGAAATTAGAAAAATGCATTTCAAAGCAAACAAAATATTTTCTAAAATTAGCTAAGCTAATGAATCCAAAAAGAAAAAAAGAAATGACTGCAAGTCTCTATTTAAGAAACATGCAACAGAACGGTTGGTAAGCTCTGACAGTCTCCCAAACATGCCAAAAGACCCACTTTGTACTGTTCTGTAAATGTACAATGTACAACTCTGGGCCCTTACGGGATTGACAGATCTAGGTATGATTCTGTTATTTTTTTCCTGGAGACAGAGGTACGCACTGTCAGTGCAGTTTGATTCATGCTTCAATTTGGCTTCTCACTGACAGGCTCCACATTTACTAAGCACCTGTTACTACATGTTCAGACACAATCAAACTAATGCCTGGTTTATTCCAACAATTAATGATCCTTCGAAACTTTGGTTTCAAAAACCCAGGTTTTGCACAATGAGAAAGAACACTCAGTGTAACCACTGCTTCATTTGTAATCTTATTCTATAATTAATTCACACTCCTAATCTATTTCTGTTCTTGACCACTCATTTGGGGTTACCTACTAACAGTGGAATTGTTCAACGGACAGCCACAGGCTTGTGCATGCATTTTCAGACCGGTCAATGCTCAAACTGACCAAGCATACGAGAGCTGACTTGACCTGTGACCAAACTTCTTAAATTCCAAGCCAGACGGGAAAACGAGCAGCATGCAACAAGAGGCTTCAAGGTATCTTCGTGCAACTCGCGACCCAAACTGACCAGCACACCTACAGGAACGCCGTCACTTTCTACTTCGCTATCGTAACAAAAACTGTACTCAGTTTCGCAATACAGAGACAATCGGACGTTGTTGGACTGGCTCTGAAAAACAACACACAATTATTTGCATTCATATTTCGCATTCGCATTTTTCTGTTGCCTTCTAGGTTTGCCACTAACAGGAGATGAAAGCATTTATAATGCCACACCAGCAAGGACTGCATTTCCCATTTATATATTTTACAGCCAAATATGACTTTGCTCAAGGAATAAACAAGTGAAAAAACAAAACAAAAAAGCACCAAACAAAACAAAAAATAACCCTTTTCAGAGGAAATGCAGATCTATTGATCTTGTAAATAGCAGACTAAACGTGAAATTTGTGTGCTCAAGTATTCAAAGGATCTCCAAAACCGTATCTCTAGAACAGGAACACGAGCATTGAAAAAGATAGCTTTATTAATTCCAACCATAACCTCCCCCCTACAAAAAAGGACACTGGGGAAATAAGCTAAGCCATTTTCTAATCTGCTGCTGCAGCAAATTTGCGGCCGAGGGGTAATTAGCGTCAACGACTCACCGGTCCGTCCAGCCAGCATCGGATCAGAATGGCCAAGTAGAAATAGAATATCAGCACAGCCCCCGGGTTGACGTAGACAAACCAAGGCTGACCGCCGACAAATACAATTTCTCTTGGTTCGTCGCATTCCGTGGCATTAATGATGGCTCTCAGTCCAAAAAGTCTGGGAGGGCAATGAAAAGATTGATGGTTGACATTAGAATCCGGCACTTTTCATAACTATCAGAATATGACGAAGCACACAAGTGCGTAATGGTATTACAATGGCAGTGTACTTTTTCATATGGTGTGTAACAATTCCACCTTTACAATGCTTATCAAATTGCCAAACTCACAGTATGATACATGTACATGTACATGCATGTACTGAACTTCAAAGCTGCGGCATTCACTACTGTGCAAAACTACTGGTTCCTTCTAAAAACTCTTGATGTTTCATTCACAGCAGCGAGATTTGTCACCAACAGTCAGACTGTCTTGGCCCAGAAAACATTGCTCTTGGTTTTGGTGCATTTACTGTTGAGCCAAGTATGGTGATGCAGGTCTATTTCACATCATGACGCAAAGTCACACAGCATTTTCAGATCACTGATTACTGAAGAATGGTCATGCCCTTATTTTTCATACTCGCGTAATGAAAGCTAAACTGGAACCTGACCATGCCGAATGCAACACGTCATTGTTACTGATAGAGGGGAGGGGGGACCAGGGGGTATCCTTGACCAATTTCTGCAAAACCCTTCCTGACACTTTCTAAAAGATTGTTTTTTTAGGAATGAGGTATCGGGGAGGGGGAGAGGTAAAGAGTGGGGCACACAGGCCAACACATTTACCATCTGAAGGATAATGCATGTCGCATGTATCTCTACAGTATCGGTACTTTTAGAGATTTCGAACCCACCCACATTACAGGTGGAAAGACTCTGGTGAATAGTCAAGTTCTTTCAGCTTGCAGGAAGGGTCCCTCCATGGGGAGATGTGATTCAGGTTCTTTAACAAACTTTGGTTGTATTCATGGTGTTGAAATGAACCGGAGTGATCGGGGCGTGACATCTGGCGAGTTTTTGTTCCATTTTGGGGGTGGTGGTCATTTGAACAACAAAGCTGCCTGGTCTTCTTGCAGAAGGTGGGCCCAATGTACCACCCAATGGCGCACGTGCATGTAGTGCATAATAATCAATTTGTACTGCTGTGAAACTGCAGATGTTTATGTCACCATAGCTGTCTCCAGCTGGCATGTACATGTACACCCGGCTTACTTCTTTTTGAGACGGCATGTTTATTCAAACTCCGAAGACTGCTCACTGTTGTTATTACAGACAGCTTATCACGATCAAGACAGATATACAAGTACACGCAATAGTCCACATGTACGTATACACACATAATTATTTATCACCACATAACTTCAGAATGGGGAAAAGTTATCAGTGAGACTGAAAAAAGTGCAGTTAATGTTAACACATCAACGGAGAGACTATTTGCGTCCCAAATTGTCATGATGAACCGGTCTTCTTGCTGTAAAGAGCCTACCTGTAACACTTTCGGAATGCTAAGAAATGGTGTATGTACCTGTATGTACAATGTACTTTCAGTCTGCACGAAGGATGATGCTACTTTTAGCAGCAAGGGGTATCTACATGTACGTTTCGATCTGCATGTCGCTCGTTTTGTCTGTACAGTGCGTGACAATCTCATTTGATTCAACTCAATGATTTTTGAGGGGCAAACCCTAATAGACCCGTCCACGTACATACAACACCAAACTGCGGGTGCCTAATTCAACATATGGCACGAGTAAGGTGCAATTACATGTAGACTTGTTGAAGAAAGCTATATCAATCAATTCAGTACTAAATTTACTGCTGGCATGGAAATGGTATTAAAGGCAACCTTTTTTCTCCACTACAGGGATCCATTTATTATTTTTTGAGGAGTGAAAAAGAGAAAAGCAGCTTGTACAACACATAATTCACATAACATACCCATCACATGTGTGAGGCAATGGATATATGTACATGTATATCTCCATGGACAGATATGCATCATTTTGAACAAATACAGACAATCAATAAATTGTGAGGTACATGTACGTGCGATGAGCCATCAAGTCAGACATGAAAGCAATTGAGCTGAAAGGACAATTCAGGAACAACAGCATTTGAAAATCAGTAAAAACAAAAACCCTCTGCTGTTCATAAAAGTAATAAGCAGCTGCAGGTTTCCTCATAAATAATTTACTGCCCAGTAAAACCGGTGGTTTTGATATCAGGAAAAAAAATACATAAGCTTCCCAAATTACTGAATTTGATCAACCAACGGAAACAATAATACTCCTTTTGCATGCAACTGCAGTAAACACTTTTTTCAGATGTCCTTCAAAAGTGCATTAATACCACAGCAGGCAAAAAAAATTGAACAGGAATGATACGAAATAAGGAATTGCCTCCATTTGTGGTTGGGTTGAGTTGAGTGGGCATTGCTGGGTTGAATGGGTTGGATTGGTTTGTTTCTTGTATGGTGTTTGGTTTGGTTCGGCTTGGTGACAAGTGGCCTCTTTCAAGCAAGCACTAAAGTGTACTTAACTGATTTTACATGTACACATACCTTTCAGCTTGGCTCACAGAACCCAATTTTTAAACCTCATTGATAACGCAGGTACTTTCAAGGTGTTCTTCTTTTGTCTGACTTACCTTCTCTCAGTTGGTTTTCTCATCTTGTCACCTCATGAGGCCATTCATATTTGGGAAACTCTGGAGGCAAGCATTACTTCACGGAAGTGGTTAATTCCTGTGCAACGAAAAGAAGTTCTCACCTGGCAAAGAGGTCTTCTGGAGCCAAACCCTCCTGAAAGAACGGGAACTGATAGAGATACAAGGCAAAGATGTGGGCACCGCTGTAGAGGAGCCAAACGATGCAGACGTGGTAGAACCGCTGACCCCAGGACTTGTAGAGCGACCACCAGGTGATGACCAGCAGGAAGGTGACAAAGTACAGGCCCGAGGTGACTGACGGGTAGATGACCGCGGCAAAGGCGCACAGCAGCATGGCCAGGAAGGACTGCAGGCCTTCCACCACCACTGACTTGGGCCGGGTGCGGCGTTCCACTACGGCGGGACTGCCATCGGCTTCCGTCGGCTGCTGGGTCTCGTCGGCTGGGTTACGCGGGGCAAAGAGCTTCTTGCAGACCGCAAATACGATGATGGTGACTAGGAGGACCACCACATCAGGAAGGATGAGGCGGCAAACGGATCCACCAGAAAGCTCATTTAACCTGATACCACAATACCGGAATCATTAATTGTAGGTCTTGGAAATGTTGAAGCGCTCTGTTTAAAGAAAATTTCCTTGAGCTTCCTGTTGCATTCATTTACGATAGCATTCTAGTAGAACTTGCCATCAAAGCTGATATACGTGTATGCTTCCCTCATGTACATATTCCGGTAATTTACACTCATAGGAATGAACTGTTCTCTTACCTCTGATAACCAAGCTGTCTCCAAATTGGCTCAGTTCCGTTACCTCAAGAAAGAAATTCATCAAATATTAATTCATATTCAGTCCGGCTAATGCCATGGTCTCATTGCAGGGCCTGATCTGAAACTTATATGCACATAAGGTTTCTCCATTTAACACACATTTTAGGCCAATTTGACTGTCTTGTTTCCAAATCCATGAGGCAAGTTATTACCTTCCACCCGCTGGCAAACTTTGAAGGACCCTAGAGGTTAAGATCTAAGCTGGGTGCTGGAACTTGCTGCATTTTGGGGATACTTCTGAAGTTATGCCTAAGGTGGGTAGGGTTTAAAGGCTCAATTTGCCCCTTGATTTTCAATTCTTCCCTCTGTGTCTCATGGTATCCCAGATGGATACTCACATGCTTCCCAGTCGTGGCCGTACGGTGAGTCAGCGGCAAGGACAATCTGGAATACGGCCTGGGTGAGGCAGGCAAGGGCAGACAAGATGAGAAGGATGATGAGGTATATCCCAGTCCTCCCTGGGCAAAACAAGGGACAACAAACAACAGAATTATCAGTAAATTAAGAGTAAAGTATCAACAATGAGCAAATCAATGATAGCCTGATTAAAATTTGCCAAAAAAGCAAGGAATATACCGGTTCGCAATTTGGGCTTTGACAAAGAACAAGGAAATTCCAATCTTTACATGACTCTGTTCAGTGTTTTTTTAATTTTCAACGGCACGAGTATAAAGTGATAAATGTGGAAATCAGCTGATCCAAGGAAAAGTTGCACGCCTGACTATAAAGGCTATCAGATACAGGGAACAAAGCTAGAGAACAATGGGTACAAGACGGTGGAAACACAACGGTAAGATTACAAAACAAAAGCAAGACTTCAGACACTTTCAGCTTTGTAAAACTTAAGTTTTAAGGAGAAAAGTATCATTTCAGTGCTTTTATCATGAACCCTTCATTTTTATTCAAGGAGGGAAATGGAATGAAGTTGTCATTCTAACCAGTTCAATATTTAGCAGAGAACTTGGTACTAAAAGAGTATTTGACTACAACACTGGTAACAGGCCAGCCAGGCTATCACTTCACTTTTCGAGGAAATGCGTGCCAGTCTTGACTTGGGGAGGGAACCTTACCAGACATGTTCCTTCGGCTGGGATTGGGCATGAGGGGCAGCACCAGAAGACAGAGTAGATACGCACCGGACAAGGCATTGTAGCGCAGTAATGAGGCTGTTGAGAAAGACAATAAACACAGAGTACAGCTACATGTATATTCATCTGAAATTACAACATATGCCTCCCTGAGCAATTTTGATTTGACCCTTCCTAGACCTAAAGCCCACACCAGGAAACCAATGGCACATTCTCTGTAAATGTAACATTTTTTATTCCTTCCAGTGGAGCCAATCCCCATGACAATGTAACATCTACATGTACGTACATGTACACATACATGTACGTGGACATGTGGTTGGACTCTACAAACCTCAATACTGCAATATCCTCCAAAACCTTGACAGTGATGCATCAGGGATTGTGGATAAGATACGAAGACAATGCAATACAGATGCAATGAGTTCATATAATTGAGGTGCATGTAAATACATTTGCAAAATGCTATACATTGCTGTGGTGGAGTACACCTGTACACATTGTATATGTGTGAATGCAAGTTTGTAAGTGTTTGCAAAAGACATGGAAGTATTGTATAATGAATGCCTATGTGTAAAATGTACATACATGTACATGTTCTGCTAGTAGAGCACATGTACATGTACATGTACTGGTACATGCAGTAGGCATGGTATACTAGTACATGAAATGTGGGTCTGTCAGTGACTTTTTGCTCAGAACTACATGTATGTAGGTATTGGTACCATAATGCAGTTGCAATTTGTGAGGTAATGTTGATATTTTGGGCATGTTTCAACACATTTGATGAGTCCCATTTCACAAAAGACAGGGCAGCAGAAGATGTTGGCCTTTACTACTGACTTATGCACATGCAAGCTGCAACCCAAAAGGGCTCTAACTCTAGCATCCAGCTGGACTGGAACGGACGTGCATATGCTATTGGGCTGGGTATTTTAACAATCAACATGCAATTCCAAACTGTTAGAAAGTCTGCCGCTGGACAACTGAGATTGTAAGGAGTTGATGGGAAAATTGGAATCCACTCTGTAAACTGTGAGAAAGGCATAAATATCCAGTGTTGGGGTCAAACCAAGCACAGCGATCTCACCGGTCAGAACTACTGGTCCAACCAAAAAATAGAAGAGCAGCCATGTGACAAAATATCGGGAGAGGATCCAAGCTTTGGTCTCTTGACCCCAGCGGGAAACGCCCTGGAGAGACTTGGACCAGGCCAACTTGATGGACAACTTGGCATTCCTCCAGAGGTCTCGGAATGGGAGTTCACTCAGGCTCATCCCCGAGGTCATCGTCGTGGTGTCGTGGGCGGAGAGCTGGTCCGGCTCGTGATGGGCAGCTCGAACAGGTCTGGCGCGGTCGTAGACATCGTAGGACTGGTCTCCCGGCTTGTGATTGGCCAGTTTGTCACTGCCGCCGCTGATGTCCATGGATGGATCTGTCAGGCTGGTCCTACTCCCCTTGGCAGGCTTGGAGGTTAGGTTCATCACGTCTACCTCGTCACTAGCCTCATCCGCCGATGATAGATCTGCCAGTGCTACATCGGGATGAAGCTTAGCATACTTTCCTTTCGCTGTGTTGGCCATCTTGTCCTTGCACTATCGCATCCAGTAAAACTACAAATCCTTAGCAGCAGGGTTGTACACAAGCAGCATTCCTACGCCAAACGCTCTGGTAATTAACGATGACTGAAGCAACAAATTGCAGACCTTCTCAGATGAAAAAACAAACAAGCAGCCCCAGTAGCTCTTCATGCACGTACCATGTACACACTGTTCAACCGAAAGCCTGGGGCCTTAACTGCTGCGGTACCAACTCTGAAAACTCTTAATACTGCAGAGTCCACAGGCAAACTGTGAAGGTACATGTAGCCAGAATACGTGTACAGGTACTGTACGTTGTATGTAAAGACATCAGGACAGCACAGACTGTAATGTGCACGTTTCAGTTTGCTTATCTTTCCACGCTGGCAAAGTCCAGCAGAGTCAGGTGGTTTAGATATTAGAAGCAAACACTAATTAATATAAGACCCGAGCTGTACACATTCAGAGGTCAGAGTAAATATAGTCTGGGGGACCTATTGGAGAGCCTCTTTCATCATTTTCGCAAAATTGGAGACGGGCGGGAAACTTTGTCTCAAGGGTATAATCTGTCGAATGCGTAATTCGGTGCAGGGGGAGCCGATCGTTTTCAACGAGGGATGATACAGGTACGTCTCTTGACACAAGCTCATCGGTGCCCTGGCCAAATAAATGAGGGAACCCAAATGACTTGTTTGACTCATTTACGACCAGTAGTTGCGTTACTTGATACGTGCCAATTCCAGAATGGATCCTACCAGTATGTGCATGCAGTGGGCACACTGAACACGTAGAGTGTGCGTGTTCAAGTACAACTTACCATTGTGTACAGGTCCATGTGTGTGTCTACAGTGCACATACTGTACCACTTGCACCCAAGTGTGGCATTGTACAGTGTAATCAGTGATGAGATTGACCAATGATAAAAACTGCTTCATGGCCTTGGAATCTGATGCCGTGACTCAATTTTGGCCTTGGCCTCAGAGACCCAGGACTCAGACTTGGCCTCGAAGGTTGTGGACTCGATTACAACACTGATTTAAGTGTTGTAAGGACAAACACGCCAAAACAACTACGGATCTTTTATTCTCACCTTTCCTTAGGATAGTTTGTCCCCTCACATCTGCTTCTGGACAGACAAATACCAATAAAGCTAGAAAACTGTCAATGTCCAACCCTAATTTCATGTTCTGACATGCACGTTCGTGTACCAACACAACGTGGTGCCTCATTCTGGTCACCAGATGTCTGCATATTTGGGTTGAACTCAAACCCAGGCCTTGTCACTTCATTTCTAAAACAAATCTACTTGAAAGACCTACTGCTATATCCCCCCACACAGTTAATGGGACTTTTTTTTTCATTTCAAGCCAGTCACTGTTTTGTAAACTACTTA